TCTGAGTTTATTTCAGTGTGCAGTATTAGACATATCCTTTTCTGTAAGCACAGAGTTTTCTATAAAAGGTTCTTTAGGGAGAGGATATGGCCCAGAATCAGAGCCAGTTTGGTGTAGTGGTTAAGGTACCAGGGTAGAAAATGGGAGACCGTGAGTTCTAGTCCCACCTTAAGCATGAAGCCAGCTGGGTGGCCTTGGGGCAGTCCCTCTCTCTCAGTCCTAGGAAGGTGGCCATGGCAAACCACTTCTGAAAAAGCTTGCCAAGAAAACTGCAGGGACTAGTCCAGGCAGTTGCCAGGAGTCGACATTGACTCAAAGTCATCAAAAAGAAAAAAATATCAACTTGCCCTTGGTTACAAAAATATGGCCTGCAATCCCAGGGGAGACCCATCTACCTACTAGCCAAATGATCATTGTTTCCCTGCTGTTAATGGAAGCAGGAAACCCTTGATCTGCAATGGGTTGCTAAGAAGTAGAAGGAAGCCTCGTTGCTTCCTCCTTCCAGTCACCAATCCCAAACCAAGTTCACTGGGACAGCAGAAGGAAGTGAGACAGGTGTGTGAGAATTTGGAGGTGGACACTCATATGTAACCTCCAACCCACATTCTGCACGGCACTTGCAACCAAAAAAGGTTGTCCACGTCCATGCGACCAAGAAAAAAAACATTTCTAGAGCTCTGTAATGGGGCTTCTGAAGCTTTTCAACAGTGACTATGGTAGAAATTGGGACCCTTCCATATTAGGCCTGTCCACATGTCAGAGTATTTAGAGGCATGGATGTAGCACCTTCTGCAACTCCTTAAATGAAATGTATCTCCTCCTGGAACCAAAGCCGGTAGCAGCTATGGAGGACAACTCACAAAGGACACAGCTGCTTTAGTGTTGCAGACAGGGACTACATCCACTAGCATCAAAATTCTGTTTTGCTTTAAAATTTTTAATTCTGTACAACTCTATTCCATGCTGCGATTATATGGGGACGGGTTAAGGTGGGAATGGAGATTAAGTCTGTCCTCCGTGCATGACCCTCTCTCTGTGAAATGCCTCCCTGCCCTTGGTTTTGAACTGTTAAAATTCTCTCATATAGTTCAAGCTGCACAATAAACAATATGTGTAGCTAAACTCTAAGTGAATTGGTTTCTGGGTTAGGGAACAGTGTCTTCCATTAGAGGCCGTGGGCTGAGTACAGTACCAAGTTCCTAAAATTGGCATCTTCAAATTGTCCCTCCACCCCCAGAAAAAGAATTATAACCAGATGATTTGTATCCTTGGCCAATTGACAAGGAAATATTTATACTCTGCCTCAACTCTTTTTCCCCCTTTATCTTCATCTGATTGAAAAACAGCAGCCCAGATTTTCAATAATCTTGCAGAAGCCCAACATTGTAACACAAGTGGATCCTCCTCCTCTCTTCCTCCCCGGAAAAGCTTTTGATGCAAGCTTTACAGGAACAGATGGATCACTTGTGAAGATTGTTGATGTTGAACTCAACCTAGTGTCTTTCATCAATGACTTTGAAGAGAGAGAGAGAAAAAAAAAAAAGAATAGAAAAATAGAGCCTGTGCGCTGAGAAGAAAGGAAACCATGTTTTCTTCTCCTTCCGGGTTCATAATATTTGTCCTGCTTTCTGTCTATTACTTTTTTTTTAGGAATTCCAGTAAGGACAGCTTGGAATTAAAAAGGTGTCTTGGAAACCTCCCAAAATGAAGAGTGGGGCAAGAATAAGTGATTGGCAAACGTTATTGGACAAAGCAGAATCTGAATAAATGATTTTTGTGTTTCAAAATCTTCATGCAAATCAAAGGGAAAAGGACATATTATCTGTTTGCTTCTGTGTTAATAATCCACCACAAGGTTGGAATGCCCTGCAGCAAAGATAAAGGGATGTACAATTCAATCCAAAAGAGGAATGACAGACTAGCCAAAAAATCCCCCAAGGACAAAATACTCAACCAGTAGAGCACATCATAACCCTCTTTCTTCAAAGACAATTAGACCTAATTAGCATCTTTTTAATTCAATCCACAGTAGTACAAAAACAACTGTTCATCAATGAGAGAAATATGAAATATTCCAGAATTATCATATGGCCCTAAAGAAGTCTTTTAAATAGTCTTTTTTGGCAGGTCAATTTGGGAAATGTTCCAGTATCACTTAGTGGCTCTCTAAATGTAGAATTTTAGCGATTATTAGTTAAAAAAATCATCATCGCTGGCTATTTGTGCCCTAGCTACTTATTATTAATATTACATACCTTACCAAGGTATAGTACAAAGCAAAAGAAAACACAATAGTTATACAATTCTGTCCAATAAAATGAGTTCGTAACTTAACAGCCAACCCTATAAAACCAGTATTTATAATACAAATCAAACTCAACAGCCATAAATAATTAAAAGAACACCCCATGAAACAGCAGAGCACACGTACATACATAATTAATATAAAGCAAACATTAACCTGAAAACTACCAATCTTAATGAGAACAGAATAAAATAACTAGGCCCCATTCTAATATACTAGTCGAATAAAAAGTTATTTAACTCTTTTTAAAAGTCATCAGAATTTCACAAAAGTAGCCATAAGGAGAGAGTTGATCCCACAGTCATGGGACAATGTCCCTGAAAGCATGAAGCCTTGGAGAATGTGACCCTGGAATGAGGAACAGAGAGAAGACCCTGCCCAAAGGAACATAAGAAAGAAACAGGGTTGTAGGGAGAAATATGGGCCAACAGATCAAGGGAGACTGTAACCAAACAGCATTAAACACAAGCACCAGCTTGGACAGGGAACCAGTACAGAGTCCTGCAATATAACAAAATATGAGAATAGCCTGGAAGGTCCAAAACAGTCCCAATGGCTGTTCTGGACTAGGATTAGGGCTAGAGAGAGGAACTGGGGACACCTACCAGGAGATCTCTGCAATAATCTTAAGTATGAATCAATCAAAACATGTCCCAATAAAGCCATAGTCCCTTCCATCAACACCCTTCTCCTGATTCTAATGAACTCACAAGAGAATTTGTGTCACAGTCAGCTGATTATCAGTCAAGACCCCAAGACCATAGGCAGAGGGAACTGGGATGATCCAGGAGCCTGGAAAGCAGCGGGGGGAAACACAAGAGAGGATGGAAAGACAATTTTTGTGTTATCCATATGCAACTTGAGGACATCCAAGACAAAATGCTCCTGAGATATTCTGTCACAGCTGACAATGCATCATCATCAAGGATGACAAAAGACTGACAGACCATGGTTTCATCTGGATAACTGTGTTACTGAAAATCTGGGCAGCCAGGACTGATTCCTGAGGGACAGCTGCAATAAGGGAAAATTCCTGGCATTGTAAGCCAACATGGAATACTGCAGAAGAAGACCTAAGACTTGAATCAAACCAGCACTCAGCCAATGTACCCAAGGATCATAACCTAGACAGCAACTTAGTTGGTGGACAAGACTAGCAAATGCTGATTCAGGGCCAAAAGAACCAGCACCAATGTGAGGAGTTGGGACTTGGTCAGCAGAATATCATTCTGAGCTGAATAGCCTGTTTGATTGACATGGATCAAGGAGCCCATTAGAAGGCAAATAAGGAATCAATTTGACACAGCAACTCTCTCAAGAACCTGGACTAAATAAAGAAAGCAGACGTACAGGCTGATAACCAAGACACAAAGAGGTATTCAAGGAAAGGTGTTTTTTCCCCCCCAATAAAGAACTAGACAGTCTGTCTGGGAAACTGCAAGAGAAAAAAGGACAATTCACCAAGCAGATAACACAGAAAAAGGTAGAAACATGGGAGGGAAGATTTAGCCAGGGAGCTGGTATGTGGGAACCTCTTCTACTGTATGGTTGGTTGGACCACTACCTCCAAAACAGGAATCCATTCAAATGCAGAGGGAGAAGATAAGAAGGGTGGCAAAGGACAGCTAGTGGAAAGAAAGGAATAAGCAGTATTCACCCTCTTATTAAAGCTTTCTCCCAAGCTCTCAGCTGAAAGAGCAGAGCTGAGAGACAACATATTCCCCACTTCAGTGACAGATAGTGCCAACAGAAAATAAAAGGTGGAGAAACGCTGACGAGAAGTCCTAGCTGGAGACTGAATAGCAGCTTGAAATAAAGCCTCCTTTGCCTCGCATGGATGATAAAAATAATTAGCCATGGCTATTCTGTGCATGGCCACAGCCTATTTATTTAATTAATTAAACCTCAGAACCACCTATGCTTCAGGTGCAGTCACATTTTCATCCAGCACCATGATTTCCTACCCATCCATTTACTGGATTAACTAAAAGTGACTGGATTTGCTACACACAGTTACCCATAAACCTCGGTTTACAGACTATACAAATGACTACATTCACTGAACATGCTAACACAAAAACCAAACACATCCTATTCTGGCTAAGCCAAATCTGGCTTATGTGCTGTACATACATACATACCCACTGTGGTATTCCCTTTCAGGATAAGCAAGGTTATAAACAGTGCAGACATACAGAAATAGTAATTCAGAGAAATTAAAGGCAGAGGGGGAGGAAAGGGAAGGAAAGGAAAGGAAAGGAAAGGAAAGGATAAATACATGGAAGGGAAGGGGAAGGGGAAGGGGAAAAAGGAAAAAGGAAAAAGGAAAAAGGAAGAAAGGAAAATAGCTAAAACTGCCTTACATCAATAGCATTGGCTATATCTCTCTGTATTTTTCTATCCTTGCAAACCATCTTTGGTTCCACCACACCCATACATTGATTCATACATTGCCTTTTGTTTAAGAAAAGCAGAGCCACAGAGTAGGTACGTTTTACAACACCTTTCAACAACACACAACACAAAAATCAGGAACATAGCATACATGGAAATGAAATTAGGGCATGACCCATCAAGTATAATTTGGCCTTCCACCGATTTTCTGTTACTTGGTGGACTTCCCTTCATTTTGGAACCTGGAGTCACGTTGGTCATGGCCTTCATGGTAGGTGATATTGGTACCAGACCCATGTACCTTTGGATCCATTCTGAGGAAGTTGTGTGGACCTCTGCTGTTGAACGTTGATCTTTTAATCGTCTTGCTGTGATGGAAGTGATAATAGTCTTCCAAGCTCCCAACCTGTAACAATCAATGTGCAAAAACAAGTCACGAAACTAACCAATTCAGGTATTTATTTTCTTCAACTTACATGTAAATCAGAGATGCAGAAAATACTGAAATGGATTTTTTTCTGTTGTCTTAAATCAGCCTTCCTCCACCTCATGATCTTCAGATCCCTTGATGCTAGAATTCCTAGAATTACCAGACAGCATGGACAAACACAGTCACAACTATGCTAGTGCATGAGAATGAATGCAAAATCCATAGATGGATGATATTTTTGTTGTACCCAATAGGGGCAACAGAAAAGAATTTGTGGAGCTTTTGAATTCTACAAAATGAGGGGTGTGAAAAATATTTTGAGCTTCAAACACTTGTTTCAAATTCAAAACAAGCTGATCTGACCTCACTGGATGTGTTTCAGTGCTATTCCAACTGTTCCAGAAATGTTTCAAGCTTGAAATAGCATTGTTTCCAGTTCTAAACTGAATTTGAAAGGGGTCTGTTTTGAGCTTGGAACAATTCTAGAATGGCTGGCACAGCATTGGAACACTGTCTGGTGAAGTTGGACAGCAGTCTTGAAGTTGGAACACCGCATTTCAAGCTTGAATCTTCTCAAATTCTCAATG